TATGTACATGGACAGTAAGCTTGTCAGGGTATTGAATGCCTTCATTATATGTTTATACAGTGGATGATAGGGATGTTAAATATTGGTTAACTGAATAGTCAAGTAACCTCATGAATTCTTATTGGTTACTCATCTATTCTATTAGTCCCTGGGAGCGGGGCCAGCAACCAGTGCCCTGTAGCCCCACTCCAGAATAGCCCCCTGCTACTGCATGCTGCTGCCTCTGATACAGGGTGACAGGCAGGAACTGGTCTGGAAGGGGAGCCAGTTTAAAAACCAGTTCCTCTTGCACACCAGCTGCCTGTCACACAATGATGCTGCCTCTGACACAGAGGCAGCAACCCCTCTCCAAGAGGGGAAGGTGTTTGAGGTTCTGGACCTAGTGTGAGCCAGAACTGAACCAGGTTGCCTGCCTGTCTGCCCAGCTCCTAACACACTTTAAACGCAGAGCTGCAGCAGGGGTAGGTCCTGGACCTGGCACAAGCCAGAACGGAGCCAGGCTGCTGGCCAGCCTTCTAAAAAAATTCATTAGTGGAGGGTGAAGGGGGTGGAATGCACGTCATCTATAACATTAACCTAAAAGCTTTTGGTGATCAGTTAATCAATGACACTATTACATTCCTAGTATATAACACAATGAGGACTCTAAACACTACTGCTGTATCAATCATTATCAACACACTACTAAATAAGTAGCTGGGAGGCCTTTCTAATATTACTAATGAGCTAAGTAGGTCAGCTTAAATATATGCAAAATTCATTAGGGAGTGACAATTGTTCCATCCGGAGAATGTTTGGAGTCCCCTATATGAGAGAGGTTTTGAGGTTCTCCAATCCAGCTCCCCGCATCACAAACTTGCTACCACGCTTTCCATTATTGCCAGACTCAGAGAACACAGCATGGACCATGGAAACTGATCTATCCCTGGCACCAATTGAGGACGTAGTTGAGGCAGCTTAGTATGCAGGGGATGCTTGCCAAAGCGACGGGGAAATCATGGACCTGTGGTGAGGTGCTTTAGGGCACACATCTCCATGGCTGCAGTGCTCTTGAACCCTCACTTTGACAGCTTCCATCACCTGTCCTGAATCAGAACTATAGATCAAGGGATTGTATACAGGGCACCACTCACCTGTGTATATCTGAGGCAGTGGCTGGAGACAGCAATCTAGGTCCTAGCTCTACAGTTGGGAAAGATTCCGGGGGGTGGGGGGAGCCAAGGCAAGAGAGAGAAGGAAAAATGGTCATGGCTTGGGGAAATACTCTTCCAATCTACCACTGACAGTGGGGAGGGAATAGCTAGGACCTGGGACTAGGGGAGAGCCCCACCTTTTCAGAGGGCGCCTAAGAAATGGGATACTGGTCTTGCTCTTCATTAATGTGAATAGAAAAGAAACTGAAGACAGTTTGAGCATTCAGAGTCTGTAAGGCTGAACAGCTGATGTGGTTTATGTGAAAACTCTAATGTGGAGTTATCCAGTATACAAATTGGGGCATAAATCACTCGCCTAGAGTCTCCAGCTTTCTGGGCTATTTGCCTCAATAGGTATGGCATAAGAGTGGAGCTCCCCCATTCCCAGTTGCCAACATGGGAGTGGAAGTGAGGGGACATCTGCTCCATTCTCAAGTTCTTCGAAGTGCTAAAGCACAAAGGATTCTGGGACAGGGGGGTGTAGGAAAAAAGTACTGTGTCACAAAATTAAAGAAAAGGTTGAAAGCAACTAATCAATTTCTAAATCTTAGGGCCGACAAGACAATAATTTATTCCAACTTTTACTTTTAAGTCACAACTGAGGCTTTTTTCAGACATAGCCATCTGCATTTCACAAACAGTGACATGGTGTTTTTATGGAAACTACGTTAGTTCTGTTACTCTATGACAAGCACTCACTTGTTCAATAGGAATTATACCCGACAGTTATCATATGCAAAAGCGGCGAGGAGTCCTGTGGCACCTTATAGACTAACTGAAGTGTTGGAGCATAAGCTTTCGTGGGCAAAGACCCACTGTCAGATGCATGCATCTGAATACCCTGCATGCGTCTGACGAAGTGGGTCTTTGCCCACGAAAGCTTATGCTCCAACACTTCAGTTAGTCTATAAGGTGCCACAGGACTCCTCGCCGCTTTTGCAGATTCAGACTAGTACGGTTACCCCTCTGATACTTAATATTCATATTATTTGATTGCTATTCACTCAATCCATAATCCATAAAACTTTGCTCAATCCATAATCCATAACACTTTGTTTTTACAATACATGGCTGACATCTTCCTCTGGAATCGCAGCTAACATATTAATGCATATCTTGTACTAGAAATATATACGAATCTTTAACAATAAACATGGCTTGTTTGACCAAAGAGAAATGACCTAAAACCTTATTTTATATTTTTTTTGTTCAAGAACTCCTCCTAAATGATAAGTTAGGACCACCAAATTTAGCATGCACCTTCCTCTTCTAACCTAAAGCAAGGTCAGGATTTGGTTGTGCCAGGAAAATGGGATGTGCCTGGAATTTGATTGTTTTAAATACCCTGGAAAGGGAGGGGACTGATCAGAGGGCCAGTTATACCACAGAGTCACCACTGGGGGCAGCAAATATAGGGGACAGCTATACTACAGAGTGACTACAGGAAGACAGCGGCCAGCTGGGGCCAGGGTTCGCCATCTTTCTGGCCACCAACCCAGGTAAGCAGGGCCCCTTTCCCAACCCCCTCCTCACCAAGCCTTCAGCCACAGCAGGAAACCCAGTCAGCCCAACCACCAAGGCTGGGCAATGAAAAGCCCTCTCCCCGAGGAGACACTGCCCACCCCCACTGGGGCACCCAGAGTGCTGGCCTCCCAGTCAGCCTGCATGGCCCTCCTGCCCCCCCTCTGGACTGGGAAGTGCCAGCTTGTGCAACATCATCTGCCCCCCCCCGGACCAGGACTGGAGAGCGCCTGCATGACACCCCCTATGCTGGCCTACCCCGGGGAGAAGCTGGTGGCAAGGTGCACATCACACCTCCCACATGGACAAGCCAGTGGGTGGGGTGTGCGGTCCCCATGGCTCTGGACCTCTCCACAGGGAGAAGCCAACAGGCACCCCCACCCTCTGTCTTGGGCCTCCTCCTCCCAACGACCTGCCCTGAGCCACCCACATCTCCAAGACCTTGCCCTGACTCTTGCACTCCCACTCCTCCACCACCAGCCGCATGTCCTGAAGGACTTGGGCAACACTGGTAAAGTCTTCTAGTGCAATATATACAGATAATATTACAACAGGAATTATCCCTGCTCTAAAATCAGTGTAAATTAGGGAGAAAAAAGAAACTGAAGGCTTTAAAAAGAAAGGCTGCTCTAACAAAGTTGCAAAATACTTTATACAACAACGCAGTTTGGGTGAGATAGAATTTGGACACTGCATTGGGGAAACTGATGCATTTTGTAGCTATAACACAGGCACACAACACCACAAAAGGATTCTGTAACTAAAACATCATACAACTTTATAAAATATCTTGGAGATTCAGAGAAGCTAAAATAAGTGACAACTTTCCTGTCCTAGAACATGTAGCTTTCCATACTAGCAGAGCTTACAACTACACGCAGTCCCCAACTTACTAAAGGGTTACATTCCGAACACCTGGTCGTAACTCGATTTGGTCATAAGTCGAAAATACCCTAAACGTGCTGCCTGCGCTGTTCGAAAAACTTGATGTACATGGTTCTCAACTAAAAAAATATTATAATGGGGTTAATGGGAGGTTGGTCGTTAGTACAGATGGTCGTACGTCAGTGTATTCATAAGTTGGGGAGAGACTGTACTACAAACTGGAAGAAGGTTGATGACTGATGAAAATCAAATGGCTACTTTTCTGTCTATGCTACAGTTTTGCCTGGGGCAGTTTGTGGGCCATCTGACTCACAAGTATAGAGAAGAACCACATTGAGGGCAGGTGGTGGTTCCCTCCTCCCCTCTTGCTACACCCCCCAATCCAAACTGTTCAATTTTACATGCTTAAAATGCTGCTGAGATTTTAGACTTTTCCTTATACTGCTGTCAACTGACAAACATAACCCTTGTTTAATCTGAATTTAACTGGGCCAGTTAAAGTTGGCAGCTAAATCTAAATCATTTCCTGGCTGGCATGTCAATTTGGCACGTACCATATATCAAAAAACAAAAATCACACCTCAATTTTGTGTGAATAATTAACACACATTTGCTCTTATTCTGATTATCCTTCTATACAAACTTTCTTAGTGGCTTTAAGTCTACATTTTCATGACTGATCTAGGATGCTGTATTATTTGAATATCAATTGTATAATACTCCCAGGACTGTAAGGAAAAACAAAATCACAGATATGTTCCAGTGTGTTTCCTAAGAGATGGACTAATTCTAGTAAATACTAAAAAGATAAAAGAAAAAAGTGAGAGGGAAATAGAGGAGGCTAATAAGCACTATTCAAAAACTGTATATCATAGACAAGAAATCCAAAATTTTTATACAGTTATTGGATTCTGACAGATGTATATAATCTGGATTTAGAAAAATACCCATTTTTCAATATTCTGATATTTAAGATAAAAAGATCAGCAATGGAGGAATTATCAATCTAGATATAAAAACAATCTAAATACTGTACCATACAACACTACTGCTCTTAAAAATAAACGAACAAAAATCCCCATCATACATGCAGCTGCTTTTGTCACCTCATACTATTTAATTGGCATAGGCTGAATATAAAAATACAAGAGAGGAAAATATTTTTCCTTCACAAGAAGCTTCTTGTATTATTAATACAATTAAACAAATGGATCTCTTGCCATGTCACACTGCAACTTTGGTTTAAATTTTCTTCAGTCGGACTTCGAACGTTTAGTTCATTTAAGTATTTAAGAAAAAGAAAATACAAAAACCTATTAACATGCTACCATAATTTAGGACTAGGATATTAGAGTTCTATATTCAATGAAATAAGCGCTACAAAATTTAACTAGCCCCTACCCCAAAAATAAACATGAAGACATCTCACCAGACAATGCTCGACGTGTGTTATTTCGCGAGTGTCTCTTTGGAAGGGAACGAAGTACTGCGGATGAGACATTGCGAAGGGTTTGGCTCACTCTTGTTTGTAACCTGTAATGACCGTCTCGGCCTTCCCTTAAAAACTCATGTAGAGACATGGATGTATTCCTGTATTTTCACAAAGTTTTTCAACAAAGGAAAAAGTTAATTTTTCAGACCAGTGTTCTAATGAAATGTCCAAATGCCAATAGCACCACAAAAAAGTGTTTTCCTCCAGTAATCCCAGTTAGGGGATGACATTCAAAAGTTATTAAAAAAATAGGAGTGACATAGTGACAGAGGTTTTAAGAACTAGAAATAGGTGCAATTATTTGTACTGTTCATGCTCAGAAACCAAAGCTTGTTCCTTACCAAACAGGATATAATAAACTATTGGAGTATTTCAACCAACAGAAAAGACCAAGATAATTTCTAGATGAAGCTACAAGATTTCAAGTTCATCTAACACCTTAACACTGAAAGTATGCCATCTTGATACAGAATAATACATTCACAGCTCTCTCATCTTCAGTGGCAGCAGATAAAAATTCTCACTTAAGCAGACGAGACTAGCACAAAAACCAACAGCAAAAAGTGTTCAACACCACCTATTTTTCATTGTCTAGTGCTGCAACTTTAAAAAACAATTTCATGCTGTATTAGATGAAATTAAGAAGACACATCCAGTTGATAATTCTTTACCACAGCATGCGCTGTCCCAGGGTATCAAAGAGCTATTTTTCATTTCCAAGTAACACTGGCTCTGTTTGAATCCTTCTCGCTGAAGTGCAGGAATATTCCATTGTTGCAAGGTGACATCTTAAGTTTTCAGTGAAGAAGCGCACTTGGCAGTCCTTTTCAAGCATTCACAAATCAGCACTCAGGCAGGCAGAAATCTAATGCTGAAACTCACTACGCTTTCTGTGCCCACATCTGCATCAGCCTATATCCCCTGAAGGCCAGCATTGTGCCAATACCAGTAAAACCAAAGAAAATATAGATGCCAGTACAATGCTGTAGGTTAGGATTTTCATCCTCTATAAAACATAGAAAACCTGTATAGAATAAACCTTTCGAAATCAAAGTGAGTTTTCATACCATGCAAGCTGAAGTCTTATAAAAGAAAATCTTGAATCTTCCTAGGAGTTTAACAAGCAGCTAACAATGGGAAGGAAGGGAAGAGAGGGGGAACGGAACCCTGCCTTCTTAAAACATAGCAGGAAATTCTGTACTGTCTGCTCTCCCATCTCTTTCAGTGTGGGAGAAAGAGGAAATTGATAACACTGCTTTATTTGGCAGTCATCTCTTTCCATAACATTCTGTTTATATTTAACTACTGGTGTATCTTGTGATTTACCACAATTTCCATTATATTTGAGATAGAGCTAGTTGATATGCAGTCTTTTCCAAACCCTCTCTGAAATTCTTCAAGTGAGCTAAAGATAGAATTTGAAAAAAGGAGTCTATTATACTAAATATCAATTGCTTCCTAGAATATTTGTAGAGATACAAGGTAGGTGAACAGTATTTTTGACCAATTTAGGTTAGTGAACAGGGCAAGCTTTCAAGAATACTTATAGTCAGATGAAAATGACCTAGATAGGCTGTCACTGCAGTGGAATACATGCTATCTGCAAACCTTTTTCTGCTCTTGGTTAGGGGTGTTTATACTAATGTAACATTTACTATAGAATATGCTAATATACCAAAAAAGCCTTGTTCACCAATGATAAAGCATAGGTAATTTATTTTATTCTAAATGAAATGTATATGACAGTGGAATTCATGGGGTGGTTGAAAAACACATTCTTAATGATTATATCCTTTTCACCTGTAGTCAATGAGTCTTGAGTGCTGCAGGTGTCTGGGTGATGACAGTAAAGGAAGGAGAATCCATATCAAATAACTTATGCTGAAGCCCTCCACCCTCCTTACACAGAGAAATCAGGAGCCCCAGAGGTGAATAAAATTTCTACTGTATAACATTTCTACTGAACAAAATAAGAAGTCAGGCCTACTCTGCCTTGTTGAGAAAGATGAACTGTTGCAGTTGTGATGTATAGAATACTAAACTTTAAATTAAAAAAAAAAAGACTCAGAGGGTAACTATTAGTCTGTAAAAACAACAAGGAGGCCTGTGACACCTTAGCCCTGATCAAATAACAATTGGAGCATCCACACTACCAAGCCTATTGTATTTGTAATAAGGGACTGGTTATTTCAAAATAATAACTCCTGCTTTCCACAAGGAAGAACGCTAACTTCAAAATAGTTATTTTGAAATGATGGTAGTGTGGACATTCCATTATTTTAAAATAGCTACTCCCCAGAGTCATTCAAAGTAATTACTCCTTAGTGCTTCTTGGTGCTCTAAGTCGAGGTAATACGGCCACATTAAAGGAAGCCTGCCAAGGAGTTATTTTGAGGTTTCCCTATAGCATGGGCATGCTATTTCAAAATAGTTATTTCGGGAGTAGTTATTTTGAAATGATTTCCCAATGTGGACATGCCTTTAGGATTTATTAGGGCATAAGGCAGTGATTTTAACCATGAAAACTTATGCCCCAATAGATCTGTTAGTCTCTAAGGCTATGTCCACACATCAGGGCAAAACTCAAATTAAGCTATGCAACTTGAGTTACTCAATTACTGAAGTCGTAGCTGAAGTCGAAATGGCTTCATTCGGCTTTTAGCACTGTCTACACAACAGGAAGTTGAAAGAAGAACACTCTTTTTTTGAGGGCAGGAAGTAATGTGTGTGTATGTGTGTGAGAGAGAGAACGAGCTTTATATCTTCTTTAGTTTATACCTTTAGCGGCAGCTCTATCTTCTTTGGTTTAACCTTGGAGTGATAATTTCTCAACTTTAATGTTACCCCAAAATATTCTCACTGGAGACCACCCAGGGTTACACTAGTATGGATTTATTGCTTGAAGAAATCACAGGCATATGGGTTGCAGAAGGAGCCAAGGCATGTAGATCCTGGAGGGTCGGTCTACTCATCGTGGCTGGGGAAGCTGGTCAGGAAGAGAGACACCGGCTGTAGAGAGGAGTTTCTCAGGACCAGGGGAAGAAAGAGAGAATCTCACATGTGTTCCCTCTCCTTAAATAGTGTTTGAATGCTCCTGTGACTCATTCACCTCACCATCAGGGAGCATGCCCAGACTTCCCTTTATCCAGCAAAAGCAGCAGTCTATGATGACTCATCACCATGTGCTCCAGTCTTAGCAACTCCAAAAAAACCCACACTCACACTCTGGCTGTATCTGGACTACATTCCTTTTTTGGTAAAGGGATATAAATTAGGCAAATGAAGCTGGGATTTAAATATCCCATGCTTCATTTCCATAATGGCAGCTGACGCTTTTTTCACAACAGGGCATTTTTGGAAAAAAACAAAAAAACAAACAAACAAACAAAAAATACCTGGCAGTTTAGATGAAAATCTCTCGAAAATAAAACCCTTTTTCAAAAGATCCCATAAATCTCATTTTTTGAGGAGTACAGGATCTTTTGAAAAAGGGTTTTATTTTTGAAAAATTCCCATCTAAACTGCCGGGGTTTTTTCAAAAAAGCCCCATTTCGGAAAAAAGAGGCTTCATTTGCAGTATCAACATGCCTAATTTATATCTCTTTACCGAAAAAGGGATGTAGTCTAGACCTATCTCCCCTCCCCCTTCATTCACTCAGGGGAGAATGCAAGTTAGAGCAACTCATAAGCAAGGTGGTTGAGAGTTACAAGATTACGAAGTTTTACAAAGATCACAATGAGTTGCAAGGTTTGACAAAGTTTAAAACCTTAGACCTTACAGTTTAGTGTAGTTTCTGAAAATGCATGTGTATAAATCAAGTAAGTTCAGGTGGAGGCTTTTTATGCAACAACTGATACACTATATGCAAATATTCACTTTCCAGGTTGATTGTTAATTTGCTATAATAAATACTTAGGCCTTTACAAAATTGTTGTGTTAGGTTGATCACACTCAGACTCATCCCACACATCAACACAAAACTGGGTGAAGGAAAATCAGGTACAGCATGCACAAAACAATTGTTTTGGACATTTTCATTGTACTAGATGTTCAATGCCTATGCCACAAAGAGAAAAAGTGGGATTCACATTTTGTGACAGATATAAAAAAAATCATCTTTTGGCAGTGCTCCACATTTTCTTGAGTAAATGACTTACAAGGGGCAATAAGATGGCGCTGGTCACATGCAGTTACAGAGCAGGCTAGCTCAGTAAAAGCAAGTGCACCTCAGAGTTTAGTACTCGGTTTCTGAATAGAGGTCTTTGCACGATCAGACAGCACTTGCTGCTGACAGCATAGACCAGCCAAATGGACATTCCCCATAGCTGGTCGTCAGGTTTTGTGTTAGCTGGTGCGTGCTAGCTGCGCACTCTCCTGAGCTGTTGGATGCTTCTGTGGAACAGTGTTTCTTAAACTTTTTGGGACCATGGAACATCAAAATTTTTTTTTCCCCATGCAGAACACCTATGAAAATTTTCTTTAAAAAAAAATTGTCAGACAAAAAAAGACAAAAACAAAGAAACAACAAAAACAAAGAAGAGGTCACAGCACACCCGTGAGTTGTTCACGGAACACCAGTGTTATGTGGAACACAGTTTAAGAAACACTGCTGTAGAACACTGACAAACTGTGTGCGTCAATGTTCCCCTATAGTGTGACACACAATGGAGTGCTACCAGCTGATTAAGTTACTCTTAGTTCAAATAGTGCTGGAGCCTTCTGTGGTGCTGAAGGCTCTCGGTTCAAACTCTTCTGATGACATGTGCGTGGAAATCACTACATTTACGCCGGAGCAATATTTCTCTATACTCTCTACACCTACTTCCTATGTACACTATGCCACAAAGGATGAATAGTACCCTTTCTTGATTAAGTTGAAAGATTCAGGACACGAACTCCAAGAGTACCAAAGACCCACAATCCCACTAAAATCAGGGCCTAAGTCACAATCACATTGCTTCAAGTAGCTTTTAATTTTCTTTCATGTGCTTAAATTTGTTCTTAGCAAAGAAATTAATCACAACAATGGCTACTGCAATACACAATCAGAAGGAAACAGATGGTGTGATGCAGGATTTCCCAAACATCAGCCATACTCACATCACCAGAAAAAATAAATCAGAGTATTTTCCTTGCTGTTGGGTTACTATAACAAAAACAGTAGACACAGGATTTCTTCTGTGCTTTGCACTGCATCAACAGGCTAATTAGCAGTTTCAACAGATACCAATTAATGTTCAAAGAATATTGCTAACACTAACTAGATTGCACCTGATCCCCTCTCTCATATTTGTAAACAGTAATATGCACAGGGGAACACCACTGACACTATATTTAATGGCTATGCCTAGAGTGGTAGAATCAGAAAGATCATGAAATGGGGCAGGTTTATGTCTTCACTTACGTATTCAAATAATTTCTATTTTCAGCTGCACACAAAACTGTTACTTCTCCATAACTTTGCATTTTGTAAGTTGACCTTGAATCTTCTTTTGAGAATTTTATAACTATTCACACATTTCCCCTGTTCCCTGAAATAAAATTGTTTTCTTCTTTGGGCTCATGATGTGTTTCAAATAGCATATTAATTTAGTCTTTCATCTTTTTACATGTGCACACATCTTATCTTTGCTGAACATCTTGAAATCCCTGATGTCCTTTTCATCAACACTGATGAGTTAATTTCTTATAACCTTGTTTTAGCCACAAATCTATAAGAGTTCACACGTAGCACCAAATGTCTCTCCACCACAAGTACAAGAGGTTCTGGGAAGCGGCACCAGTGAAGTTATGGTGCAGAAGAGGATGCAAGATATGCACGAGCTATACATACCTTGTATGCTCTCCAGCTCCCAGCACACAAGTGAGGGGGTGGGCTGAAGGATCCACTGCTCTATGGATAAGTCCATCTTTTTTCCACTCCTCTTGCCAGGAGGAACGTTGGAGTTGTAGTTGCTTCTGTACACACACAGAACAGCA